GTTCAACACCAAAACAAGCCTCCCACGGAGCAACTTATTTTTTCCTGTAATGCACTTTCAATATCTTTACTTGCTTTCCTAGGAGTAGTGTTAGATTGTAAGCAGAATCCATTCATCAATATATCATACGACCCTTGATTTTCAAGGCGCTGGAGCACCATCCTTGTTGTTCGTTCACTAACCCCATATATCACACGACCGTCGCTCCCTGAGCAGTGCGCCGGAGCACCATCCAAAACCCACCACCAACACCATCACTCCACGGCCTTGTAGTTCAGGCCATGAACCTAACAGCCGAGACCAGTTCCTCTCTCGGCTACAATCGTTTGACTAGGAACACAGATCAAACAGGCGCACCATTCATCCATCCAACACTCATCAACACATCAACGCACAGTAAACCGTGCTGGCACACCCGCGCACAACCGCACCGCATCCAAAAGCAGGAAACCCCGTGTTAACGCACATCCCCTCGGCCCGGAACTCCAGGCCGTGAGATTTGCGCGGCAAACACTTTTGGCACGCCCAGTGGGACATCTGTCAAAAACTTATGGTGGAAACTAGGGCACAGGCAAAGCTAAAAAATAAAGCGGTCGAAATGACTTCTGAGACTCCTGAGTCCACCTCACCAATCACAAGTATCGAGACCGAACATACGGTCGGGATCTCGACCGGCGCTCCAGTAACGACGGATCGCACGGTCGAATCCATGCAGGAATAGGCAGTGGTGGAGGAACTGATGTCCATGCAGGCCTACAGGATAGAAACATCCTTCATGGCCGCGATGGACAGGTTCTCCTCAGAACTGCGAATGCTCTTTCAAGAGAGGATGCCGGTGGCTTCGCCCGCCACAACTCCCAGAGCCGGACCGAGAAGCCAAGAGCGCGACAGAATCGAGCCTTACAGTGAAAGTAGCAGCCTCGGCGTCTCGGCCCATACCCAAGCATCAGGCTACGGCCAGCATTCTTTGCCACCAACAAACAGCTGGGGTCAATCCCAGCCCATGTGGACGAATTCTGGACCAACCTACTCGGCGGAGACAGCGCGCGGACCGCTCCATGCTTTGGCTGTATCACTAGGGTACGGCAGCTTCACGCATCCCGCAATCCCCCGCTCGGCTCAGTTCATACGGCCGCCGTCCACACCCATCCTGGTCCAAGCAACGCGTCTGCCGTATCGTCACAATAGTACGGTCAGGGCAACCTGACCGTCTCACCACCTTTGCAGGCGTTGTCGTGTCCGTTGGGCTCTCACCTTCACTATGGGTCGGCCGTTCCAGCAACGCATATGCACCTTGGCCAAACCCACGGTGCTCATCTGGCATCAACCAGCTCGGTCATCCCGGCCGAGCCCTTAGTTCAAATGGCCCAGCAGGCAAGGCCTCAGAACGAGGTGCTACAGGCCACACGGCCATATGCAGCCCAACAGGAGGCACCACCTCAAGGGATCCGGCTCAAAGACGTCCGGCGGATGATCGAAGACGGCCTAGCTCAGAGGCGGCCGGACATGCCAAGATATACGAGGCCGTACTCGCCAGAAATTGACTGGATCCCCCTTCCCCGAAACTATCGATTGCCAGAGTTCATGCTTTTTTCTGGGGATGGGCAGACCTCGTCCATTGAACACATCGGCCGTTTCACGGCCCAGTGTGGAGAGGCCGATTCGGACGCTCAGAGACTCCGACTTTTTGTTCATTCGTTGACCGGCGCGGCATTCTCATGGTTTATAAACCTTCCGCCGAACTCAATAAGGGATTGGTCTGATATGGAAAGGGTGTTCCACGAGCATTTCTACT